GAACTCCCAGCCCCGATTCGGGTTCTTTGCTGTTTCTGAGAGTGCCCTCTTAAATCATTGCTCCCTCGTTCTGGATTCACAAAGGGCCTGTCTGCCTTATCCACAGACTCCTGCCTGTCTCCCCTTCAGTCCCATCTTTTTTGGGTAGGCCAGGAATCTTCCCTGATTGTAGCTGTGTAGGAGAAAGGGATTTTCTTTTGAGCACAAGAACCAGCGTGCTAGTTCTTCCCGGGCATTAGCTGATGCAGTAACAGCCACTGTTCATAGTTCTGATCAGTAGCTGGTGGCTCAGGAAGGACGTTTCCCCAACCTTTATCCATCTCCTGATCAGTTGCAGTCTTGTTGCCAGCTCCCAGCCTCGGGATAAAAGGCCTGAGAGATGACGTTAGGTCTGGAGAACAGACAAGACCAGTACAGTACAGATCTCAGTGGGCAGCTCTCCTTCTCTCATACCCACGACTGCCCTGCTTAAAAGCATACGCTCCATTGCCCAGTGCCCAGCTTTGAGATGGTTGGAAGTGACCCCGACTCTCAAACTGATCAGTGCAAACTGCAGGTCATGATGTGTCTCCGCTGTGCGAACACTCATGTAAAACATCTTCTGGTTTCTCTTCTCCTGGCAGCTCCTTTTTTCTGTGGGTCAGGAAAGGGTTAGGGAGACAGCTGCAAAACCAGTAGCTTCCTTCTCTCTAGAAATCTATCCTGCACTCATTCATGATGAACAAGAATCCGAGGGCTGGAAGAGGCCTCAGGAGGTCATTGAGTCCACCCCCCTGCTAAAACAGGACCAATCCGAACTCAATCATCCCAGCCAGGGCTTTGTCAAGCTGGGACTTAAAACCTCTAGGGATGGAGATTCCACCATCTCCCCAAGTAACCCATCCCAGTGCTTCACCACCCTCCTAGGGAAATAGTTTTTCCTAACATCCAACCTAGACCTTCTCCACTGCAACTTGAGACCATTGCTCCTTGTTCTGCCATCTGTCACTACTGAGAATAATCTGGCTCCATCCACTTCAGACCCGCCCCTTCAGGTAGTTGAAGGCTGCTATCAAATCCCCCCTCACTCTTCTCTTCTGCATTTTAAATAAGCCCAAATCCCTCAGCCTCTGCTCATAATTCATGTGCCCCAAAGCCCTCATCATTTCCATTACCTACTGCTGGACTCTGTCCCTTTTGTTTACATCCTTTCTGTAGCGTGGATCCCGAAACTGAATGCATTACTCCAGATATGGTTTCACCAGTAGTGAATAAAGGGGAATAATCACTTCTCTAGATCTGCTGGCAATGCTCCTACTAATGCACCCAGATGGGCCATTAGCCTTTTTGGCAACAAGGGCACCCTGCTGGCTCATATCCAGCTTCTCATCCACTCTAATCCCCAGGTCCTTTTCTATACAACTGTTGTTTAGCCAATCAGTTCCCATCCTATAGCAGTGCTTGGGATTCTTCTATCCTATGTGTAGGACTCTGCACTTGTCCTTGTTGAACCTCATCAGATTTCTATTGGCCCAATTCTCCAATTTGTCTAGGTCACTCTGGACCCTATCCCTCCAGCGTATGTACCTCTCCCCACTGGTTGGTGTCATCTGTGAGCTTTCTGAGGATTCAACCCAACCCATTATATAGACCATTAATGAAGATGTTGAACAAAACCAACCCCAGTAAAGAGCCTAGGGCACGCTGTTTCATACTGGCCACCAACTAGAAATTGAGCTGTTGATCACTACCCGTTGAGCCTGATGATCCAACCTGCTGTCTAGCCCACTTATCAGTCAGTCCATTCTTCTAGGCCATACTTCTTTAACTAGCAAAGCTTTTGATACGGTCTCCCATAGTAATCTTTCCAGCAAAAGGCAAGGTATATCACATCCACCGCCTTCCTCATCTCTAAAGAGCCAGGTATAGACGGCAATCAGTTTGCTCAGGCATGACTTACCCTTGGTGAATCCATGTTGATTGTTCCTGATCACTTTCCTCTCTTCCAAGTATTTCCAAATGGATTTCTTGAGGAACTGCTTGGATTACATCCCTGCATGCTCAAGCATAAGCCTCTTGATAACCCTAGAGCCACAGTGCATGCATATTGCAAATAGCTCTAGATGTAGATGCAGAAGTCCTGAAGCTGTCCTCCATCTCGGCTCCCCTCATAGGCACTGTGAGTCAGTCCATCCATCAGACATCATGCAAGAACTGTGGAAGCTGCCAAGGTTCTCAAGGTTTCATTTAACAATGTGTTGCAGCTCATTCTACTCAGAGATTTTTTTTTCACATTGAAGAGTGACCAAGAAAGGTTGTCGGACCTGTCTCTGCTACGTCCTCTTTATTCTCCTGCCTCGGGCTTTTTTTTCACATTGAAGAGTGACCAAGAAAGGTTCTCGGGCCTGTCTCTGCTACGCCCTCTTTATTCTCCTGCCTCGGGAAGTGCTTTCCTTTGCAGCTTGTATCATCCTCCTTTCTAGAGCTGGCAGCAGCCACAGCTGGCTCAGAAAGAACCCTGTTTACAGAGCCAAAGTTGTACATCAGCTCTGGCCGTCAGAAGTAGTCAACTATTTGATAAAGACTTAACCACAGCCAAGCGTTTCCTGCCTCCAGCCAGAGCCCTGTGCTCTACCCCGGTCAGCCAGCACCCCCAGAATAATTGTAGAGTGCTTGAGGATTATTTCCTCTCCTTCCTGGCTTCAACTCTGGAAGCTCAGATCCAGGAGCTCTTCAAGTAAACTACTACAAAAGCAAATAATGTCTGTGCTGCTCTTTGAATTGTTCTTTGGTCCCTCAAAAGATGCAATTCATAGCTCAGTTGGGAGTTTCTCAGTTGAAAGCCAGAAGGCTCTCCTGTAGGTGCCACCTGAAAGGTTTGGTGGGCCTGAAAGCATGTCGTTGTCTCTCCAGTGTCATACCAACAGCTGTTTCAGTTTTGCAGACAAACATTTTGAGTGCTTCTTTCTTTAGCCTGTAAATTCTCACTGAGCTGTTGATGGTCTTGTTCCATTGTGCTGCATGGGTGAAGATTACACCTCTCCCTCCTGGATACTCTCTTTCTCTGAGAAGAATCAGAAGATTCAAAATAATATTTCACCACAGAATTAAAGACAGTATCATGATGCGCATGCACGGCCGGGGAGGAGGGAAAATTATTTCTGCATGGTTTGCTGACAGCAGAGGAATGGGAGCTTCAGTATTCCTAGGAGCAATTCCAACTTCTATAAAAGAGTGTGCTCTAGTGGTTATGGGCCATTACTGCCTCTTCCTCCAGCTTGTTGCTGTCCCTCTGTACTCCTAGCCACTCACCACATGGAGTAGAGAAAGAAAGTGAACTTTCTTCAATATTGGTGTTTGCTAAATCTGCATGCATTTTTTGCATGAGAAAAGCTTTTTTCCCCTACCTTGTGTAACATTCCCTCTCACCCCTCCTTTTTCCACTTGAAAAAGAGCCACATTTTTTCCTCATTGAATCAAAACAAATGCATCTAAATAAAATATTTCAACTATTTTTTAATCAAAAACAATTTTAAAAAAAGAATGAAAATAAAACCTTTTTCCAAAAATGTGCACAGCTTCTAGTGTATGCAGGCCTGGTATGAGCACCTGCCTGCCACACTGGCCCATTAAACGAAGCATAGCTATGAGCAGGGGTCCTATACCAAGCTGGGGGAAGATTCCCTTAGCACAGGCACTGTAGAAGGCAGCCATATGCTCCCTTTCAAGGACTACCTTGAAATTCCTTGCATATGAGGTATGCTGGGGGGTAGGAGTTGAGGACTAGGAGACGAGTCAGGAGCAGGGGACCACATCTGGACCAGGGTCTGGCATGCAGCTCTGCTGAGACTGAAGTTGAGGACTAGGAGACGAGTCAGGAGCAGGGGGCCACATCTGGACCAGGGTCCAGCATGCAGCTCTGCTGAGACTGCAGACATTGCCAGGGCCCGTAGGAGACCACGGGGGCACTTTGGCTATGTCTACACTGGTGGGTTATTGCGCAAGTATGGCCATTCTTGCGCAAGAATCAGCAGAGTGTCTACACTGCCCACCCGCTCTTGCACAATGAAATTTACAGTACAGCATGGTAAGAGATGGCTCCTTGTGCAAGGTGTAAGCTCTCTTGTGCAGGAGCTCTTGTGCAAGAGGGCAGTGTGGACGCTCGGCAGCGATTTCTTACCCAAAAAAGTCCTATGGCTAAAATGGCCATCAGAGCTTCCTTGCGCAAGAGAGCGTCCACACTGCCATGTGCAAAAACACAGCTCACACATGGCTCTGTGGACGTTTTCTTGCGCAAGAAGCCACCAGTGTAGACATAGCCTCTCAGAACTAAGAGAGCCTTCAGGGTTGCCAATTTTGGTTGGCTGCATTCTTTGAGGTTTCATTGTATGATTGAAACTTTAATTCCTGGAGACTTCTGGATAATCCCAGAGGTTTGGCAATCCTACTGAGACCCTCCCCCACTCTCCCCAAGGCTAGGTAAGCAAGGACAAGAGCTTCTCCATCTCCTGCAGGTACAAAGATGGGTGAAATCCACCTGAGCCCACCCTCTACCTGGATTCAGAATTCCCATAGCTCTTACCCAGTCCTTGTTGGTTGCTAAGAGTGGAAAAGGAAACCTCTCTATAGAGTAGGCTGTTTAGAAACTGTGGCATTCCACACCCCTTTGAAGTCAGAATTTCTGGGCCGTACATGGCTTCTTTATGTATACATCATTCTCTATGTAAATCTCTCCTTTTGCAAATTACACCAAGGATACTGGCAGAACACGTTCATCTCTCAGAAAGTGTACCACCCATTCTTAATCAGCTGGGGACACATCCTGTAGCCCTTACTAGGGTAATACTCCCGCTGACACTGGAGGCTTGCGGACTTCACTGGAAGTTTTGCTTGAGTAGGAATGATTGGAATTGACCCCTCTTCAGTGAACTTCACTGTTGTGCATGTTTTTCCCCCCATTAGTTCATATAGCTCATGTGACTGCTTCTTATATCCATCATTCCATTTTTCTTTCCTATTAGAGTGAAATTGGACACAGCCCTCCTCCTGCCTACGCCCCTATGTCAGGAGTAAGTATTTCACAATCAACCTTCATCCTGTAGGGTTTTTTTCATCATTTTAAACCTACACATTTCTTCATAAATTGGCCAGCCTCTGTATTCTTTCTCGTCACTTTTGGCACTGGAGTAAATTGGGCAAGCATACAAGGGCTCTTTGTGGTTCCAGATGAATCCAGATTGGGATTAGAGTTCTATGGTACTATGTATCCAGAATGGCTGATCATAGTTCATACAAACTCATAGTTGATAGAGACTGCATTTCGATGATGATCGGTTTTGTCATGATGCTGAAATTGACAGGCTAATCCCGATAAGCAGTTATTAGGTTGAGCCAATCCAATGAGTTGATGCGCCAATGGGATTGCATCTTACCCAACTAAAATTCAGTTCCCAGTGGAAATAAGATATGGTTTACATGACCATTCATTGACTGTAGCTACTTGTTCACACCCGAACCAGCACCATTCTGAATAAAGACAGTTCTGAAATTGGAGCCTTTTCTCTCCTTTCCGGAGGAAGGTTTCCAGCAGGTCGGATTTAAGGTTTGTTCTTAAGACAGCATTTGTTCTAGCCAGCCCAATAGTTAAGGAGCATTACACATTACGGTCCTGGTTACTGGATAGCTCACTATTAGCTGTTTATAGACTGAGGATTTGCTCTTGGTGGCCAGCAGTTTGTATGATTGCATCAGTGTAAATGCAAAATAATTATTGACTTGGCGTTCCAGTCTGCCCTACACCAAGGTCCGATCCTCCAATGCTGATATAGGCATTGTGTATCTTCACCAGAGATAGTAATGGTGGCAAGAACCCTGGCCTAGATGAGGCTTTGAACATTTGAGAAAACGAACCCACATTGATGTGAACCCAAAGGAGCCACCATGTCTGTGTTTAGTCTGTTATTTTATTTTGCCCTTTCTTGCACCACTTTGTCTTTGGCGCAGAACCAGTTCACGTACAGAGGCGGCGGCTTTGCTACAGAACAAGGAGTACCTGTGCCCTACAGAGCTGTCAGCTGCATAACTCCAGAGGCGTCAGCCATCCAGGGGGCCACAGCAGAGATCTTTGATGACACTTGCTGCAACGGCACTCTGCGGAAGCAGGTGGCTGCCGCCATCGCACAAGAGGACAGTAGCGCTCAACGGTACAGCGCTGACCCAACGGTGTTTGTACCTGAGCGGGGTTCGCGGGGTTCGCTGGATGAAGATGGGTACATGACTCCAATGCGAGACAAGCCCAAAACAGGTAAACCTTGAATATTTTTAGGGATGAAAGATCTCCGGCTGAGCTAATCACAAATTTTGGGCACATGTGCTCAATTCTAGTGTGTATAATTACATGTTTCTAAAGTCCTTCAGGCTACGTTTACACTACAAGATTTTCCGGAAAAGGCAGTGCAAATGAAGTACGGATTAGCGAAGAGGCAATGCAAATGAAGCATGGATTAGCATTTTCTCGGGCTTCATTCGCATATTCTCTTCCCATCTGTTTTTGCGCACCAGGTTTTTGCATAAAAGCAAGCAGTGTGGAAGTTCCCTTTTAGTGCAAAAAACCCTTTTGTGCAAGAGCCTTATGCCTCAAAAATAAAGTTTTTGTGCAAAACCCCTAGTGCAAAAACGGATCAAACGAGAATATGCAAATGAAGTGTGAAAAATGCTAATCCATGCTTCATTTGCATTGCCTCTTCTGGCAAATCTTGTAGCATAGATGTAGCCTCTGAGTTTTCCATTGGAGAAGTTGTTGTGGCCTTTCCTGCCTTTCTAAAGAACTTAAGTTATGTCGTTGGTACTGTTGCACGGCAGCTAAATTTCATTGCCCAAAATAGACAGCTGGATTGTGATTGCACAGGTACACAAGGGAAGAAAAAGGAATGCACTGTCATTCAGCAAAGCACCTGACTGTGTGCTTAACTTTAAGCACATCTTTGAGTGTTTTCATGCATCAAGGGAGGTGCTGGACAAAAACGTTGTATAAATAATCTGATTGGCCCACTTGAGATTAGAAACAGTAGCCTCCTGAGAAGGAGAGGGAAGAATGGGGGTATGGCACCATCTTACCTGTATGGGAGAAGACAGAGTTCTTCTGACATATTTTATATTGATTATTGATTAAACGCTGAGACTGCAGTGGTCGATACAGGGTTAGTCTCCTGAGCAGCTAGAGCATCAGGAAAACTGTTACCAATGTGATAAACTGCAGTTGTTTCTTATGATTAGAATGAGAGCTGAGGAACGCACCAGTCCCTTTGCAGAATCAGCTCAGCGAATGTGTCAATAAACTACCACAGTAGATACAGAAGCAGTACAAAATGCGTGGCCCTGGGATTACTGTCACTCACGACTCCTGAATGGGAATCCTGGAGCATTAGATGTTATATTCCTCAGCATCTGCATCCTCTTGCATGGCACACCAGCCAATTTACACCTGTTAACACGAGTTCCACTTATGCCCACTGGGGATCGTACATATTTATGAAGGTTTCAACTCCTTTTCGTTTTGTGTTTCCACACTCCACTCAATTTGAGTTGCCCTGTTTTTCATAGTAACTTCTGGTTAAAGAGTGACAGAGTCTAACTTGTTAGACATTGACAAGCATAATGGGAACTAAGTCTCACAAAGGTAGCCGTGTTAATGTGTTGCAGGACTATTCATTGTTTTTTCAGTTACAGACTAACAAAAAATGTAGGTGGTATCATGAGCTTTCATGGGCACAACACACTTCTTCAGATGAATGGCGTTAAGGAGTCCAGGGTACAAATAAATAGCAGAGAAAGAGGGGGGGTGGGGAGGGAAAGAAAAAGGGGGAAATGAGGAAAAAACTTTATTAATTAGAATGTCTATGCTAAATGAGGGTAAGAGAGTGGGTTCTATATTACCCGGTGCTTAGCTTCTTCTGTCATTAGGGTGTAGAATGTAGCAGCCCATCCAGTACAGGTCTTTGTTCAGACCTCAATTCCAGGTGTCAAACTTGCAAATGAAACCTCTACAACAAAGGATTAATGGACACAAAATGTTCCCCAATGCGTTTCTGTGTATTATAATCAGATATTTGAAATGGTATCTTGTCTGGGCACTTAGTAACGGAGCTAAGAGTGACTATATTATGACAACCCATTTTCAAAAACCAACTTGAGAGAGAAGCTGCAGAACTTGGTTTAAATTACAAGTCTGGTCAGACCTTATTTCCAGGTGTCAAAGACATGAATAGGATGGGCCGCTACATTCCACACTCTAATGACATCAAAAGCCAGCTAGCGGGCACTTACAGCCCACTCTATTAGACTCATTTAGCAGAGACACTTTAATTGACAAGATATTTTTTTCCTTTCCTATGTTTTCCTTCTCTTTTGCTCCCTATCCCCTTTCTTTCTCTATTTGTAACCTGAACTCCATTCATCTGAAGAAGTGGGTTATGCCCATACCATCTACATGTTTTGTTAGTCTCTAAAGTGCTGCAGGACTATTCATTGTTTGTTAAACTTCTGCTTAGCTGCTGATATTCAGGGGGAAAAAATATTGCAATGTACCAACTCAAGTTGGATGTCAGCAGATGAGCTAACAGACTTTGTTTCACCTTGTGATATGAAAGGCTGACATTATCTTGCTTGCTGGTAAGCTAATCTTTTGGCCTGAGACTTGGCCTTCTAAGATATTTAGCTTAGCAAAACAAACAGGCCTTAGGTCTATGTCCCAATGTTAATTAATACTGATATTTCACTTCTATATTCTAAATCAGTGGTTCTCAAAATGCAGGCTGCAGACCACTAGTGGTCCGTAGCGGGAGCTCACCCTTCCTCCTCCCCCATGCAGCAGGGAGCCCATGCTGCCACCACGTGATCGACATGCAGCAGCGAGATTTTAGTATTAGCGCCGGCTGGCGAGCAGAGAGGTGAAGAAAGCAAATTCACCCCTCCTGCTCGTGCAGGCTGTGGACCTATACGTGGAGGAGCACTGTGGCCACATTAAGGGGGGGGGGCGCATCCCTTGGTTGGTCCCACAGGGCAGGCATCAAGTTGGGATGAATGGGGCTCAGCCGGGCAGAGCCAGACACCCTATCCCTGACCCTCTTCTCCATCCTACCTCCCTGATCTTGCACCCTGATCTTTCTACACCCACCTCCCTTCCAGATCCTTCACCCCATCCCTATCCCACTCACTGGCAGCCCTGTCCTGTACCCTGAAACCCTCATTTTTGTCCCCACCCCAGAGCCTAAAGGGGGGGTCCATAAAATCCACTAACTCCAGAGCCCCAGAAAAGTAAATCTGGCCTCTAGGAAGCCTCACACTTCCGTCCCCCCACCCCCTCCCTTCTCCTTGCCTCGTGGGGCTGGAACACCAGAGGAATGAGGTGGTTCAATTGGGGGACCACATCAGTGAGGGTTGGGGAATTTGGGGGAAGTTTTTTTTCTTCTCACTTGTGGGTCCCCAACTGATTTGTCTGTGGCCCCAACACAAAAGAGGTTTCCCCACACCTGCCGTAAAAACATTGAAACCTTTTGTGTTGGACATAAAATAATATTTTATTTTATTTAAAATAACATTTGATAAACTAATATGAGAAAGTTAAAGTGCTTAATCTGTTTAATAATTGAAATTTAACCAGTCTCCCACTAGCAAAATGGCTCAGGTGTAATCATGCAAATTAATGGTGAGTTTCCATTAGCAACTGGTGGGCCACAGAAAGGTTTACATCGAGCCAGGTGGTCCACGAGCCAAAAAGTTTAGGACAGTGGTTCTCAAATGTGCCTAAGTCTCAGCGGGGTCGCTGTGTTAGTCTGTAACTTTAAAAACAAGGAGTGGTCCTGTGGCACCTTAGAGATTAACCAAAATATATCCAGCTACTGACATGGGCTGGCAGTGCCCCACACTTAGCTTTTGATGTTTAAAAATACAGTGTTAAAGACAAGGTAGACTGGCTTTATAATGCATCACCCAGTTAATGGACACTTCCAGCCCACTTAATTAACCTCACTAATACTGGCCCTACAACTGACAGGTACCTTTTTTCCTTTTATAATTCCTGTTATAAATAAAATGTTTTCTGATATTTCCACTCCAGCTCATCATTTGATGAAGTGGGTGTTGCCCACGAAAACGTGAGATGTTAGATATTTTTGTTAGTCTCTAAAGGTGCCAAAGGACTCCTTGTTGTTTCTATAGGTACCTGATCTCTTTGATCCTTGGCTACTGTGGAATATCACACCCTTTCCAAAGGTGCAGCAAGAGCCACCGTGGCCCATGTTCACTAAAGACAATGGCTCGACTCTCCACTGCCTTGCACCTTGTGTGTCATTTACGCACTGATGTGGGGGAGTGGAGAACCCCACATAAGGGGCAAGGCAGTGGTGGGAAGTAGGCACAATAAACCCAAATCTCCAAGTGTTATGGCTTACTCCCACTGTTTAGCACATCATCTAGTAAAATGCACTGGGATCCTTCCAGATGAAAAATGTAAGACAAAACCCATTCAAGATGTAGATTTGATCCAGCCATATTTGGACTTGTTTGAACTGGATACTTCTGACACATCTCACTGCGAGCGTGATTTTTTTTGTGTCTATAGTTAATCTCTAAGCAATTCCATTTGCAGTCCACTACTCTTGCAGACAGCCCCACTGACCTCTGTGTCAAAATTGCTTCTCACAGAGCTCTGTGGAGACCCAGTAGGTCTGTTAACACATGGTAACCACAACTTGAGAGCCACAGGCTGCAGCCTTGGGAGAGAACTTGCTAACAGTGTTGCATTACTCCAGAAGGCGTGTGCAGTATCGCATCACCATCCAATCTCCTAACATTTTGTTGCCTAATGGGTCTATGTTGGAGATTGTGGTGTTCGAGTGACTAGCCCCCCTCTTGCCTCCATCAACCTGTCCTCATTTTCGCTGTGACCTTCAGCCTTGTTTACAAAGTGGTGTTGACATTTTGTGCTAATTTCACACAGTCCTACTCTGTTTAGTGCTAGCTCAGGAACTCATCTGAGTCCCGCTCCGTGCTAATTATAATCTTTGTTCCTTCGCATTTGGAGGCCCTTTGTCCCTCAGTCAGGGCAGCTTTTAATCACAGAGCTGAGTTTTTAATAATGCAGCCATACAGGGTTAGAATGGAAATGTTGATAGTAGAAGAGGAACAATAATTTTAATTAGCATTTTCTAGGTAGAATTGCTGAGAAGGTGGTGAGTTTACCTGACTTAGACAAGGTGGCACAAAGAGTCAGTGATAGAGGCAGTCCCCGGTATCTTCATTCCACTTTAGTGGACCATATAGCCAATTCTTCTAGAGAGAGAAGGTGAGATCTCGGGTTGGTTCCCAGCACTGTCACATTCTCCCCGGCAACCTAAGACAAGTCACTTAGTTTCCCTCTTTCCTGTCTTCTACACTTTGCCCAACCTGTCTGGCTAGGCAATACACTCTTTTGGGCAGGGTCTGTCCCGCGTTATATGTCTGTACAGCACCTAGCACAGTGTGGCCCTGATCTCTAGGCCTCTCGGCACTATCTGCTAGTAGCAAAGTGAAGATAAGTAAAGTAGGCTGTATGCATTAGGGACTTTGGGCTGAAGTGTACATTCAAGTGAACAGATGGTAATGATTGATGATGGCCACTCTGTGGACACATGAGCTTTTCCTTGTGTTGACATGCCTCTCATCTTTTTCAGATTACCTGAACCCGGTTGAGGAGAACCCATTTGTCTCTCGCCGGAAGAACGGTGATCTTCAAGCCCTGGACAACCCCGAGTATCACAGCGCCCCGAATGGGCAACCCAAAGCAGAGGACGAGTACGTGAACGAGCCATTGTACCTCAATACCTTTGCTAACACCTTGGAAAACGCAGAGTACCTGAAGAACAACGGGCTTCCTTTGCCAGAGAAATCCAAGAAGGCCTTCGACAACCCGGATTACTGGAACCACAGCCTGCCCCCACGAAGCACCTTCCAGCACCCAGACTGCCTGCAGGAGTACAGCACAAAATATTTTTACAAACAAAATGGACGGATCCGGCCCATCGTGGCAGAGAACCCTGAATACCTCTCTGAGTTCTCGCTGAAGCCTGGCACTGTACTGCCCCCACCACCATACAGACATCGGAACACAGTGGTGTAGCCCCATTACTATTACACCTGCGGAGAGGTAACCCCTTTCTAGCTGCTGGATTCTCTCTCTCTTTCTCTCTCTCCCTCTCTGTTTCTCGGAAGCTTCCTCTTTTTGCCAGTTCACTCACGTTGATATTTCCAAGTAGAAGGACACCTTGGAGTCATTTGCAGATCGGGTTTTGAACCTGGAAGGAAAGAAAGAAAGACTGACTGAAAGAAGGCCCAAACCTGGCATTTCTTGCCTTTCCCAGACCCTGAGGGTCAGAGGGACTTGAGGGGCTAGCAAATGCCAGGAAAGGCCAGTTACAGGGTTGTCTGCTGTCATCCTCGTTCTTGGTAATTCAACTGATGCTGTAGGGGACGTCACACCATGTCTGTTTCTACCAAGAGAAACCCACGAGAGCCTCTTCAGCATTCCTGGAAATCGCAATGTGGTTTCCATTCGGGGGAGAAAAGGACAACTTTTATATCACGTGTGATAGCTAAATAATTGAGATTGGAGAATCCAATTTCTTTTCCCTAACATTTTCTATCCTGGCAGCTGCAAACAGCTATCCCAGCTTTTCATAACGATTCAGTTGGCCATCACAGCCACCCAAGGTGATAACGAGGTGACTTTTATCTCTGGCCTGTCCCCTCTTCTTAGCCACTCCCACAGTTTTGTCCCCTTTCCGAAGCACCGAGACTTTCTCTTGAAGCTCCTGTGCATAACAGTGCAATTTTTTTTGTATGTGTCGCCATGACGACAAGTATTTTCAACACAAAAAGCCAACAGCCTCCTTGAAGCTGAAAGAGAGGCCAAGATCTGTGATTTGTAGGCACAGAGCCTCCCCTTCATGTTTTATACCTACTTAATACAGACAACGTATCCATGCCAATTTTCTTCTTTCTTTTTGCTCATGGATTTAAATTATCTGGGGACACAGTCGACAGGAGGAGGGGAGTTTAACCGGTTCAGGAAAACCGGTGGTGTTCTAAGGGGTGGCCTATTAAGGAGTCCTTTAAACTGGAAGAAAGACACTGGAGTGGGTAAAACACTCATAGCAGATCACTGGAAAGTTAGTTTGCACTTAAGCTATGGTTTTATTTGCCCTCACTCTGAACTGTTTTTTTCTGGATTTTGAATGAAGCAATATGGAAGTGACCAGCAAAATAAAAATAATTTTAAATTAAATAAGGAAATTATACATAAAGGACAACTGTGGAAATGCCAAAATGAAGAAAGTCGCATCTGTGGAACAGCATCGGCTGGTTCTAGAGGCCAGTACGCTGACTACTTCAGAGGATACAGTAAAGAAGGAACCAGTTCAAACACTGCTGCACAATGGAAATCAATGCAAACAGTGAAGGGATTTGGGGAGAAGACTGGCTAGGTGTGGCTTGGAGCCCAGCAAGGACTATAGTGCTCTGATAGACAGATTTTTCCAGCACATAAGCTAGTACATACAAGGATTTTAAAGTCAATGCATGCATGATACACACTGCTTTCAGTCCGAAATGTAAATCATGAGTTGATTTCCATGCACTTATTTCTCTTTCATCAACTTGAGCTGTCACAGAACCTTTCATTTATCCTCCGTCTACCCCCATGCCTGGAAATATTTTTAGCCAGTGTTTTTAAATTCACTTTAGCCTCAGACATAGAACACCATAGGAAGCAGAAGGGAAGAGCAGGGAGGGTGTCTTGCTTTTTAATGCACTAAGTGTCTAGCTATTTAGACTTTTAAAGAAAATAGATCTATCTAATTAGACTCAAATTTTAAGAGGGCAACAGTATTCACATTAATGCACTTTACTACCACTAAAATGAAGGCCCTTTGGATGATGGAACGCGGCAAGAGGGAGGAACAGTATGGAAGCAATGGTTATTTTCGGTTAAATCCTAATTTTAATGGATTGCCATCATGAGCTCCCTCTCAGGGAGAGCAGACCCCTCCGATTGAACGAGGAAAACTAAGTAAGCTATGACCCTCTTCCTCAGTCTGCCATTTTGAGTTTACTGTAGGAGCTGATGTTATACCATGTTACGCAAGCATCTGGTGATGCCTTCATGAAGCGACATTACAAAATTGCCTAATCCCTCCCTCTTCCCTCTCCCAGGGCCGCCATGCAATAATTGCTTAATTTTCTGTGTCTTGGGGCTTGCTAGACAAGTCAGCTCTGGGTAGGAAAGGGATCCTAACCTGGGTTACTTCTTAGTCTTGTACTTAGACACAGCATTTGTGGCTGGTCCCCACTGTGTCCATCAGAATTTCAGGTCAAGGCTGGTTCAGCCAATAGGGCATTATGGAATGAGGTGCTTCAAACCAATTTGAACGAGCAGAACTTAATTACCAGCTGCTGTGCACTTACTAAACCCATAACCCTTGTATGTAAATAGGTGATTTATAAACAAGAACAATAAGTCTTTGCAGCTATTAAAAGGAGTGGGCAGGTGGCTACCTAACAAATCAGTTTGTCACGGCAGAATGAAATGAACAGCTGACCATTAAAGCAGGGTGGATGACCACAAAAGAATTAGACCCCCTCGGATCTGTTAAAGCACTCCATGTGCGAGTAGTGCATAAATCTTCAAGGTTGGGATCCAGGAGGTAAGTCTCTTGAAAAGAGCAAATGGACAAATGATACAATTCTGGTACAAGGGTTTTTGTTTGTTTTATGTCCCTTCTGTGACTCAGAGAAAGCTTAGAATAGAGGGCGGGAGAAGTTGGGTTGAACTCCATCACGGAACAGGTATAAGAGAAGAGTGAAGTGCTAATGGAAATCTAGATACAGGCTGCGTATTTGTATTTGAAGGGGTGCACTTTTCTCTCACCGTCCATCTTTTAGTGCACCGCTCCAACCTACTGAAGGCAAACCGCTACAAGGATTTTAGAATCCAGCTGCTAACAGAAGGTAGAAAACCTGTTTGATAATTCAGTAATATCAACAT